AAGGCCTAGTCATTAAAACAAAGTATCTGACTTGTTAAACCAAAGCTGGTCTATCAAGAGACATTTAAAATCGGCAATTGTTGAAAGAGCTTTTAAGTTACAATGACGCAATTACACGACATGATTTTTACTTTTCTTCAGTTACTAAGCCACAAGTCAAACTAAAACGACGATGTAAAAGAAACCTGATGATATTTTTTTTGTAATTTTGTATCAAGCTATTAAATGGCAAGGTCAATAACATTTCTATGAAAGTCCAATTGTCATAATTGGACTGGTATCGCTTACTTCGAAAAGGTAACGTCCTCTTGCGCGTGACATTTTTATAAAAAAATGTTTGATATGTAGTTTTGAATTTCCTCTACTTTGCTCAATTCCGACTTTAACGCGCCTTTTGAAGATCCTGACGGTTAATTATATCTCTATTATTATTAGTTTGGATCATCAACACCACTACCAACCGCAACTGTCGGCGCTAAAAGGTCGAAAATTGAAAAGGAACAACATATCACGGTTTATAGCCAGTCCATGTATAAAGTTCATGACATCGTTTTTTTAAATTAGTCATATCGTAGTGTATGCCAGTTCCAAAAATATAAAGCAGAGTACGTTTCTACAAACTTAAATGTGCCTAATATTAACACTTTGACCATAGTTTTAAATTTAATTAAAAAATTCGTTATCCAATATATGTAGATCAGTGCCCCAGATTCTACTGTAATTGATATTGTCTGGGCTTGAGTTACGTCTGTGACATGCAATACGCCCGCGCAAAGTAAATCTGCTTTTGACAGTTGTTTTTTTTTCGCCCTTGAAACAAAAGTGGGCAAAGATTTACGCCAACTTTCTGATATTTTTAAAAGCTTAGAAAAAGATTATTGTTCTAAAATGTTTATCTCAAAAACTTTATCAAAACGTCATATTAATTTACAAAACAATTTGTATCTCACGAAAAGCAAAAGTAAGGTCAAAGTTTAAAGTTAGTTGTTAAGTACCATTAGCCACGTGAGGTAAGGCTAGACAAGCGACGTCGGGTGCATGCAATAGTTAATTCTGCAGTCATGCATTATCCACGAAAGGCTATTGCTATTGCATTGTTAGCTCGTTTCAATCAACTTTTGAAAATCGTGACTTGTATTCGTGTAATGATTTTTAAATGAAGAGAATAAGAAATTATTGCATCGGCATAGGTAAAAAATTATGTACATGATAATCAGCTGTCTATGTTGATACAAAGTTTGATTTGGTTTACATAGAACTTAAAGGGTTTAATTAAAATTTAGGACTAGTGGAGCAATAGAAATATTTATTTTTTCTTTTTTTCCAATACTCTTTAAAGTAATTAGCGGTCGAAATTATGTCTACACAACGCGTAACAATTGACAATTTATTCTTTAGGATTAAAAAATCAACTTGGACAATAGACAAGAGCGAGCGGTGACCTAGTTAAAAAGTTCGCCCTCGATCAAAATATTATGACTCATAATTGACATTTTACTAACATTTGTACCTAAGTAAACGCTGTACCACTGTTACTAGCTAATGTTTATACGTATCAATATGATTTGCTAACCACGAGATTATAAATTAAATCAACAACGACAAAAAAACTGCGCTAAAATTAAACATCTTTGGGGCATCCCTAGCCAAGGCGTCTATAGTTTTGCGCTTACCACCCTAACTGTTTGCTCTATTCTAGGATTGTAACAATACCGTTTCTTTTTGAAAGCTTTTTTCTAGTAAGCTTAGTTTATTGAAGAAGACGTAAATAACAAGATTTTAATTGAGATAAGTTATTTCTTAAGACAATAACAGTTTTTGCATCACATTTAAAGAGAGACTAACGACGTTTAATATCTGATAACGTTATACTTACACGTATTTACATACTGATATACATATGTTGCTTTACATATACGAAAATGTTAAATTTAATACGTATGTCTGTATGTAAAAATCGCATTGCAAGATCAGCTTAGATTATATTTGTTAGTCGTTCAAATTTGAGCCCCAAGAAAAATTAATTGTCCTTAAAATTGAAACACACGAAATTAGCAATTAAGTGCCAATAATTTGTTAACGGGTAAGGTTAGCCCATTTGATAATCAAATCATTTTATCTTTTTAAATTAAATAGTTCCTCAGGACATTTCTGGCCAGTATTCTTGTGTCCACAGACAACACATGCTCCAATTTAAATTTCGAATCACGCACACAGACTTAAATCTTCCACTCCCGCTACGAACGAGAAGGGATGGAGCTACGAGTATATAAAGTGAATGCTACTCGCACGCACCATACGACCCGTGAGGCGCGTGTGTGGTGGACTTTATATTATTTTTTAATTATTTTTTTATTGTAAGTGTGTAATATGTTGCGTCAGTGTATTACGTTGGCAGTACTGGGGTGCGCAGTGGCGGCGCCGCAGCATCAATATCAAACCCAACAGCAAGTTAGTAATATTTATTATTGATTTTTACCAATTGTTATATTAAGATTTGAATATTGGAATTATTTTTCTCATAAATATTAAAACTTACCATATTTAATTATGAAAAATGTAAAACTAAATTTTATTTTCAAAATTGTTATTAATTCTAATTTCACTTGAAACAATTTATCACCATTTTAAAGATCGTTGACAACAAATATCGTCACCCTTTGGTTAATTCATTTATATTAACTGCATCGACTATAAGTTAATCGTAGTTATTTGTTAAACACGAAAGTACTGTGTAGAATAATGTGTATAATTTAATAGACAAATTGCTACAGTCACGCCGTATTAAGTTGCGAGGTAATCTCTAGTCATGCATTTGTTCCCCTTTCTCTATCCATGTTTGTATATAGTTAGGTACTGTTTACACAACAACAATATTATTTTGCGTCTGTGCACGATGATTTTTCATATTAAAAAAAAAACAATA